GATCACCAAATTGACATTGTTGTTGTTTGTTACAGTGATACGAAGATAGATAAAACCTTTGACAATTTTTAAGCTATAGTCGCCAGCAATCAGTTCAATATGCGAGCGACTCACATTTCTGCTCCCTAAACCCCTTTTTATAGATTCCTTTTTAGCTATTCCTTTTTGCAGATTCCTTTGTGTTTATTTTTGACCCCACAAAATGGTTAACAACGTCCAATAGACGATTTTTATCGAAATTAATTTAGTCATTGTAATCTATTTAGGATTTCTCAAAATAAACTTAATGATATAAATCTGATAACTTCAATTAATTACCGGAAATTATTACCCTGAACTACTTACTGTACTCACTACTAGAGGAAACTTCATTATTTAAATTTGGTTTTTCTGAAAAGTTGGTAACAATGTCAATTGAAGAAAAAAGTTAACAATATTGTTTGCTGCCATAACTCAAAGAGCGATTCGGATTTTACGAGCAAAAAAAGTTGTGGTTAAAATTTTGCTCAACAAAAACGAGATTGAGTGTGTTGTGTATTGTGTGTTCCGTGTGCTGTGTGTTCTGTGCGCTGTGTGTTCTGTGTGCTGTGCAGAATGTAAGAAGAAGAAGAAGCAGCAGCAGTAGCAGTAGCAGTAACTGTGTGTTCTTCTCCCCTTTAATATTTTTGAACGTCGCGTATTTAACACCGCACGAATCCGTGCTTCAGTGAACGTTAAGAGTTTCATTTCGTTAGTTTCATTTTGTGGCAAAACAAGTTTTCAAATTGTGTGATTTAGCTTTTTTTCTCGTTTTGTTTTTCCTCGTTTGTGTGATTTGTTTTTGTGATTCTTATTCATAGACGACGGCGACGACGACGAGTATGGCTTTGAAGTGTTACCAAAAAACGCCAGTTTGTCAGTTTGTCCGTAACTCTTTGGTAGAAGCGAAGTCGCCGCGTCGTTGCTGACGTTATAAAAGCACTTAAATGTTTCACATTACAAAATAACAGCATTTGTTGGTGTAATTAAATTAAGAATTACTTTTTTAAGTTTGCGGAAAAATAAATTTCTTAATTTTACTATTTTACCACAAAAAAATATATTTTTTTATTTGCTGTGAAAATTGTCTGTGTATTTTGTTTTAAAATTCGGTTAAACTTCGCTGTGGTATTAGAAACAGCAAAGCAGCAAACAGCAGTGATCGAATGTTAATAAGAAAGTGTAAATATTTATATTTTAGTAATATTGTTAAATATTATAAGAACTCGCTTCTTAAGTACAAAAACTAAAAGCAAAAAAAAAAACAAAAATAAGCAAACGATAATCAAATGTCTCGCCGCCACGTTATGTAAACGAAAATCGCAGCAAAAGTATCTCATAGATGCAGCAACAGCAGGCAGCAGGCACCAGGCACAGGCAGCATCAAACAAAACACCAAAAAGCAACAAAAACAATAAAAATAAAAGGCAATTGGTAAGTAAATAAATGCTCAACGATTCGAATTGTTTTTATTTCTTATTTGAGCTTTTTTCTATTATTAATTAATTTTTTTTTTTACTTTTATAAATTTTTTCTTTTGTTTGTCGAAAAACATAAAATTTTATGAATAATAAAAAAACCAATTCACATGAAACGCTTTATTTCGTATCTTTTAAATACAGCAAAGGTCTCCACGGAATATTACTTAAGTATTTGCTCAGTTGCTTTAGTCAAGAGAGTAGAATTAACTATTCATCGTAGTTGAAAATAGTAATTTGAGTCATCATCTGAACTGCTTACGTATATTTGTAGTTTAAATAGAAAAATATAAGCTTACATGATTTTAAAGCTGATCCTATTCAAAATTAATATTTCTTATATGATCTTGATTCAGAAGGAATAATATTTTAATATTTACAAAGAAAGCGATACCTCATAAAACACAGAGATTCCTGAAATCAAAGTATATCGGACTTTTTTGCTAGAACTAACCCAAACTGCTACCAAAAGCTAATATCTTTCAGTTTATATAGTTTTGGATCAACCACATAATTCCACAATAGTTCTTTAGTCCATAGAATTGTTTAGCACAGGGCTGTCCAAAACACAGCTCACGTGCGGCCCGCGACTTATTTCAATCTACCAAAATTAGGTAAATTATTATATTATACAAATTATTTTATTTTTATGGTGTCCCAAATTCAAATTAATTAAATTAATAAAACTTAATTTAACAATATCACCGTAGTTTATATTTTTTTTCAAAAAAAAAAATATGGACGTATGTACTTGTTTCTGAGGCTATCCAATCTGTGCAGTAATTGATTTTGGACCGCGAACGTATTGCGTGTGGTTAGCAGTACCATTCTTAAAGATTATCTTCAGAATCTTCAAGGGGAAAAAGTTAATATTAATTATTATATATTATAATTTATTATGATATTCTATATAAAAGGTATCTGAAATTCATAATTTGAAACCCGTACGTTGAAGGCACCACAATATTGTTTATGTAAGTTGATAGCACTGTACTCTGTTACTATGAGAGATTGAAGAATGATCTGTGATATTCAGTTTATCTCTTTCACTTTGATCTATGATCTTATGAAAATTTAACTAGTTATTATTGAAGCTATAGTTAATCTTACAATCTAAAACTTATGATATGGAATTTGAGTTGTAAAAGTTTACTTAAGAATAGGATATATCACTTGTAATGCACTACGAAGCCTAAGTATATTATTCAAGTTTTTCTCCATTGATATACGTATGGCTGCAGACCTATAACCGACATCAATTGGTAACAATTTCAATTTGCGGAATCAATAAAGAGAAAAATTATTGAACTTTTCACAACAGTTTTCACATATGTTACCAGTCTGATATACTGCGGTTTCTAAAAACTGTTCTTAATACAATGAATGTGCCCTATGTTGATGTGTTAACATAACTTTCAGTAAAATATCTACAAATATCTTATCTAACCTAATCTCAAGATATTTTGCAAAAAACAACCAAACATATTTTATGCATTTAACCGAAATGTCACTTGAACTTTCTTAATGTTTGTCTTCCTTAAAGTAACATCACCGTCAACTGTTGTCATATGGAGTACGTGTGACTTGTCAGCGCCTGACAACTTTTAGTAAGGAGGCCACTTGTTCTCTTAATCATGCGTTGATGCGCTTTGAAATGGGTCAATCAAAAAATAAATTCTTAGAGGCAAGCATTTTTAAATTATTACCTAGAGATACTTACTTATCAAAAAAAATTTTTTAAGAATATCTTCACAAATTCTGGAGATGTATTTATATATAATATTTTGCAAATTTTTGTAAACATTCTCGTCAATGACAATGGTCATACCATATCATAGAGGTCCTATTTAGTGTATAAAATTAGTTGTTATTTCCATAAAGAATAAAATGACTTATTTGTGTGAAAGGCACTATATTTTAGTTTCCAGTATTTTCTACTGGGGAGCTCATTTTTGTATAGAAGCAGATATTAATATGGTCATTATATGATATTTAATGGTTTTGTTTGCTTAATGGTTTGGTTTGCAGTTTTAGTGCTGTTACATAGCAGTCTGATCATTTTAAGAGACATCCTTTTATTTTTCATATAGTCTTTTCGAACTTTTTAATTTATTTACATATTTGAAGAGTGATCAGTTACGTGGCTCAAATGAATTAGGTACACTTTTTTAGCTCAATTGGGTAGAGATATTCTATAGACTAAAGATTTCAATGTATAACTTAATTACTTATATAAGTGATTATTGTGTTTTATATCTCACATTAAAAATATATCTTTATTGCATTTAGTCGCTTATAAAAAGCAAAACATCACTCAATGAAATACAATTGCCAGCTTTTTTGAAGAATAATTATTTTCTGGTGCTTATGTTATAAAATAAATGAATACATTATGCCAGACTACTGGATTCTTAGTGAAATTGAACACTTTAATCGTGTAAATCCTTGGCTTAAGGAATGTATTATAAACTAACGGAAGAGTTTCGGAAGAGACTTTCGAGTAAATCTGAACGTTTCCCATTGCGGATATCATAATATCAGAAAAGGACCCATACTACTGGCTCACTATCCTTTTTCTGATCTAGATTAAAACTAGACTAAATATAATGTAACTATAACGCTCATCCTCTTTCAGATAGTGCTTATATACTATCATCTGAGATTGACTCATTTTTTGAAATCGTAGTGCTGCTTAATACGCTTATAACCTGTGAAATCATATGTTATTTATATCAATTTGGTTCTACTCACTAAGAACTCACTAAGGGATGAACTAGCCCTTTACTCTATTGTTTGCTTGAAGTTTATGTTAGAAGTATATATATTCTGGGTCAAGAAAACACGGGATTGTTTTGCTAAAAATGACAATGTCTTTAGCTCACATGCTTGGAGTGTCAGATAATTATCCAATGAAGGAAGAACGTTTGGAAATTGCCGGATAGTATCATAGCAGATGTTGAGCATTTCTCCCTATCGCCTCTGATCCACAACTATCAACATACCCTGAAAGCTACCCCCGTCTGTTCGGTATACCTACTTATTTAACAATTTTACATTAACACAAAAACTGTATTCATCAGAAAAAGCAATCAAAATCAGAAGATTTCAGATGAATCCTTATCTGATCGACATGATTAGATCATAATATCAAGTTGATGTATTTGACTGTAATGTTCTCATTAAAGCCAAAACTTTAAATGATGGCAATAGCCTACTATGCTGTGCGATAAAGCGTAAAAGTATTCATAGAAAATTTTCAATACTGCCAATATACTATATATGGTTAATGCTATCTAGGCAATAATTCACAAACATTTTGTCAAGGTTAGTTAAAAAATTATTTTTTTAGCTAAAAATATTTAGTTAATGTGATGAACTAATTTTTAGTTCATCACATTGCATTTATGTGATAAACTAAAAATATTATAAAAACCATGCCAAATTAATTTCGAATGAGTTCCCATCGGTACACAACATGGTTTCTGTTGAAACCTCATAAATCGCAAAAAAAAATCCATTGAAAAAAAATTTTGCTAATAGTTAACTGAAGCACTTTTAAGTCATTTTAATTGCTGTTATCCAATTATGAGCACAGGACCCTTCTAATTCAGCTCACCACATCGCTCACTTCAACCAACAACACTCCTACGATGTGCTCATATATGCATTGATACTTGGCATATTTGTGGTGGGACACTCATCAAACCTCAGACTCAGCCTCAACCTCAGCCGCAGTGGAGTTTTGTACTGGAATTCGAGTAACCTGCACTCGTTTCGTTGTACACTTCACCTCTACCCCGCTTGCATATTTAGACACAAAGCGTTTACCACTTACCATTTAACTATTGTAACCATCGATACACCTACTTAAAATTTAGAAAGTTGTTTCTTACCATACTTAGCGCTACCACTCTCGGCCCCTCTTTTCCACAGAATGCCGCACTTTGGTGCTTTGCAGTTTTTCTGCTTCTCTACTGGCATTCTTCGGTTTCGTATCTCATTTTTTCTGATATTAATTATTTGAATTTTGTGCGGTATGTCTGCGGTCTCCTTATATGGGTCAAAATATTACCGAGTGAAACAAAAATTGTTTAATAAAAAATGCTTAAAATTTATGTCGTCCGTATTTAATTTCAATTTTCTTATTGAGCATGACTTAACGATTTTAATTACATTCGCCGTGACTGGGCTCGATGTGCTGTAGATGTGGTGTAGATGTGGATGTGGATGTGAATGTGATGTGATAAAATTCCAAAATTTATTTACGAGTACACAATTTTCATCTTGATAAAATTAATACGCCAAGCCACACTAGACTTAAGTGGTTTTCAAGTTGGTTAAAACTTTTCAATATTTGATAAATGGTTGCGTTGTATCTCATATCGTGTATCTCGTATCTACAAATTCGCTTCCACACAAACCGATTTCGCTGACAAATTGTATCTTGTGGCTAACACAAAATGTACGCTATGTAAATATCTGAAAAATATGTTCTTAGAATATCAATAAATAAATATTTTACACTCTGTACTATGATGTATTGTGTTTGTTGTTATTTTAAATAAATTTATTTTTTTTATTAAAATTCGTTTCACTCAAAACGTATTGCCTGTCTACAGTTGTGGCATTAAAACTAATCTCCTCATCTCAAAGACAATAAGTTCGGCGTTCCACTTCATTGGTATTCCGGCAACATTTTACAACTAAAAGAAATGCAATATTACAAATAAATTTAAAGAAAAAAATAATTTAATCAATGGAAGAAGAAAATTGCAGGAAAGCACATTTGTTTCGGTTTGGTGCGAAAAGTATCTAAGCTGCAACACGTGCTTCCTCCAAATGAAGAAAATTAAAAAAGTTATTGATAAGAGCAGGTCACGTAAATTTGTGCAGAGTAAACTTTTATATTAGTTTAGTGAAGTACTTGTGAGCATTTTTTACGTATTTGAGAAAAGGATGATTTCATTTTGTATCTATTTATACATTTTCTCAATTTTATTAATTTTTTTTAGTTCAGAAATACGTATTCATTTTGGTAAAGTAAAGTTCGTGCTACTTCAAGATATTATATTTTTATATCATGAATAGAAACTTCAATAGATTCAAAATTTTTGTTAATATATATAAACAAAATAATAATTAAATTAATTTATATAAGTGTAAAAAAATTGTATGGATTGAAACATCTGAAGGATTTAGATTAATTTAACAATATCTTCTGCCAACTATACAATGCATGCAAAGTAAATTAAATGATCTGGGAACTGTAGAAGGTAATATCGATCTAAATATAAATATCTAGAGTAAATCACTCACGACCAACTGCTTTCATAATCAATAAATAAGAACGACAAATATTTCTGTCTTTCGAGAATCCTTTTCGGGATAAAAGTTAAAATATTGCCGAGGTAAGACACGAATGCCGAAAAAGACGACTAAAATCTGCAGATTGAATGTCTGCGGAGGTAAACTACATTACATAATTTATGGGTGTTTATGAGGTTTAAAATTAAAAGCCACTCAAAAATGTGTCAATCAGTAGGAATTAAAGTTTTTACTAAGAATAGAATAGGTAGGACTGAATAAAATGCAACCAATAGAGCAAATTATTATGCCAATTCAAGACTAAAAAATTAGATTATCTTTTATTCAGTGACGATATTCAGTTAGATCTGACAATTATGAATTATTGAAATGGTTGAGGTTCATTATTGAAATTAGGAACATTAGATAACCAGTCAGTTATTTAAATTTTCTCTGATTAGAAAATTTAAACTTTTTTTATTAGACATAGATATAGATATAAATGAAATTATTATCCAGTTTTAGTAGATCTATATTTTTAAAACAAAATTTGGCAGATTAATCCTCATGTCAAATTTAAGGATCCAAACTAGACAAACAGATTCTGGTTCAAACTAGACAAGATGCATACCACTCACCTACTTAAACTAAGACGTAACCTGGTCAGTACAACAGTATGGGTATTAACACTTTTCACTGCATACTAGAAAGACATACTATGAAACTGGGTCCACCTTATAATGACTTTTGTCGTGATTATGGCTCTGTAGATGAGCAGGCAACTGTACTGCATCTCATGTGTCAATGCCCATCATTGTTTAAGAAAAGCTTTAAAATATTTGTGGCACCTTTTGTTACTGACCTGTCAGACATCCTGAAAGCCTGCAAAATTAAAGAATTGGCCATTTGTGAGATTGGTTCACTTTCACTTAAATTGATGAGTAGTGGCTTTAAGAGTTGTTCAATTGCTAGTCTTCTAGTCTATATATAAAGAACGCTAATGCGTGGTATCATAACATGCCATTATTTGAGCTCAAGTGGGCGTTGTAATTTTGAGAAATTACAAAAATTACTTTAAAGTTTATAAAATAAATTTCAACTAAAACATCGTGAATTTTGTATAGAAAGTTTTTTTACAGTTTTTTCATCTTAATCAATTACAAGATCTGACACTAAACTGCATTTTAAGTAAGTTCAGTTTTGTTTTTTTAGAATTTTAACTTTTCTTAATAGCATTTTGAGCTTCGCCAATGGCTATAGCTGGTTTTAAACCATGAGTATACAGTAACACAATAGGCCAATAGGCCTAAGTAGATTCTATAGGGATCACCGGTATAACCTAACCTAATCTACAACTTTTTTTCAAGAAATCAGAGCACTACAATGAATAAAACTTTGAGATTGTCAAGACTTTTCTGTTTCCATTCTAGATCTTAGAACTCATATAATAAATTCCAATACTTAATTAAAATAAATCCATTTTTTTTGATTATTAATCAAAACTTTTTTGTTTTGTTTCACACTTGTTGTCCCTTTTTTTCTCTTATTAAAAAAAATTTAATTTTACATAAACAAAATTTAATCATTGGTTATAATGTAACTGTCAGCTTTCTAAACCATATCCTTTATTTCGTCTTAATACTACTTTTTTTAATACTACTTTTTTTGGCTACTTATTTTGTTTTGTTTCACATCTGTTGTCCCTTTTTTTTCTCTTATTAAAAATTTAAGTCTACATAAATAAAGTTTAATCATTGGTTATAATGTGACTGTCAGCTTTCTAAACCATATCCTTCATTTCGTGCTAACACTACTTTTTGTAATAATACTATTTTTGACTACTAATTTTGTTTTGTTTCACATGTGTTGTCCCTTTTTTTCTCTTATTAAACATTTAATTCTACATAAACAAAGTTTAATCATTGGTTATAATGTGACTGTCAGTTTTCTAAACCATATCCTTCATTGCGTGCTAATACTACTATTTGTAATAATACTATTTTTGACTACTTACTTTGTTTTATTTCAAACCTGTTGTCCCTATTTTTCTCTTATTAAAAATTTAATTCTACATTAACAAAGTTTAATCATTGGTTATAATGTGACTGTCAGCTTTCTAAATCATATCCTTCTTCATTTCGTCCTAATAAATTTGTATTCCTGTTAAATACTTGCTAATATAAATTTTCCTTTATTTTCAGATCAAATATTAATCAATGCTGCCAGCATCAATTTTAAGCTACATAATTTGACTACAACAATAACAATAAGAACAATAACATCAACAACATCAACAGCATCAACAACATCTGTAATAATAATAATAACAACAACAAGAAGAACAAAGAATTCATAATTAAAATAGCAAACTCGTTAAGCTGCAGTCAATAATTACAAAATATTACGTGACTGATATACTAAAAATTTGCGAGTGTAAGGAGTCTTAATACAGCTTTAACGCTGGCGAACCGACAAGGTACTGTGCCCGTCATAATGGAGGGGCCAGAAGTGACGTTTCTCTTTCAATTCGGCAGCATACGTGATGCCGTTTCGGTGGCCGTAAATGCCTTAACGCTTAAAACATTAAAGGATTTGGCATGCGAATTTATCAACACAAAGGTGAGTCGATTCAGTTAACACTAAAATGAATGTGATGACACTACAATGAAGAGGGAAAAAGAGGGTACATGAAATAGTTCACTGAAAAAAAATTATATGAAAAATATGCACATACCTACATACATTGATTATTGTTTGAAAACGTTTATGATTATGATGAATTGGAAGCTATATGAAACTAGCTAGTGTTGTTGTTTCTGCGTTTGTTTTTGGGTTTAGCTTTCTCTTATTAGTGTAAACTGATAAATTACAAAATGTGACAACAAATTTATGGAATTATTTATTAAAGTACACAAGTTTTTTTTTTTATTTTGGTGGCGGTGGCAAATTGTCTCGATATGTCTGTGCCAAATGTTAGTACGTAAGCGCATATACGATACGATACGATACGATACGATACAATTTATCAATATGACGAGCACAAAAACAAAAGCAACAACTCTCACAGGAGCGCTCGTTTATTTGTGTTTATATGTTATGTATGCATAAATATTTGTAGAGTTTTATTCTGTCTAAGCTTTTGAAGAATTGTAATGAATTTGTATTTATGTATGTATGTGTGTATGTCACATGCACACTTGCCGATAGCCTATCAGCGTACGCAATAAACTTTACAATGTACTGTACATATATGTATGTAAGTGTGTTGGAATGTGCAATTATTTATACATGTTTGTATGTTTGTATGTTTGTATGTGTCACAAATTAATTTGATGGCATTAATTATTCAATTTTATTGTGATCCCATTTGCTTAAATGTGTGTGTGAATTAACGTCGATGAGCTTGCTTCCATATGCGTGTTAACTAATTCTTTTTGTCTCAAATGTTTTTTGTGTTTTTTTCTTTGTTTTTCCTTTTTAATTTTATGCTTTGTGGCTCTTTTAGTTAATTTGATGGTCTTTATTCAATTATTTATGGTCGGGCGTGATATTTCGTGCGCCCGCTATGCAAAAAATTCCTACATTTCATTGGTTTTTATGCGTGTCGAAATTTTGTGTAATTCACTCTCAACAAGTGGCAAAAAAATCGTTTTGTTTTTTGTTGTTTTTATTGTTTTTATTGTTTTTTATTGTTTTTGTCTAAAAGTTGTGCAAAATGGAGCAGTTAATCTTGTACAAAAAGTACATGAAATATGAGAGTCCATAAAATATGCAATCAACTGTGAGTTGTTTTTATGAGGATTTCCACTGTTTGCGCGCTTGACAATTTAAGGACTTCAGTTGAATTGCAATGCACATTAGAAATTTGATTAATCATACGAAAACACATTGCCTTGAATGCTTCAACGCTCTGCGGTGTACAGTGTACAGTGTGCGGTGTACAGAGAGCGGTGTGCAGTGTGCGGTGTGCGGCTGTGAAAATAGGAATACATTTTTCAAAATGTGTTTAATAATGCTTAAGTCCCCAAGGATCTCTAGTAACATTAACATATTTTAATCATGAAACGGTAATGGTTGAAATAAATTCAAAAATTAAATTTCTGCAGAAATATAATATATTTTAACATATCCATAAATTCTTAATGACACCTATTCTGATAGCTAGACTAACACTAAGACTTTTGGAATATATATTTGTGATGACTTTATTTTTGTATACCTAGTAGTGAGTGATAGCCTCGTACTCTAAAGCTCACTTAAACACAAATAATGGTCTGTAGTGGTACGATGGATATGGACACACAGTCCGTATGAGAAACCTAAAGTTGTACTTTAAAGGTAGAAACCGAAGCATATAGAACACAAATAGCGTCTTTAATGATGTTGCAACTTCTCTATTCAAATTAAAGTTGATAAGTCTATAAACTTGAATATGTTCCTAATTTTAAAGGATGACAGAGGATGAAAAGGGTCATTCATTCGTATTTTAAATCCTCCATTGAATCCTGTCTTAGCTAATGATGGACACTAATGCATAAAGTGGAGTACAGTGTCGTTCTCATTCGCAGAGCCACAGAACTCATTATAAGGTATACCGTATAGCAGGGCTTCCCAAAGTACGGCCCGCAAGCGACATGCGGCCCACGGCAAATGTTTGTGCGCCCCGCGAAATGTTTTTAATCTACCACAATCAGGAAAATTTTCTTTTGATGTATTGGTAAAACTATATTATTTTATTTTTATAGTATACCAAATAAATGAATTGAAATTGATAAATTTATAAAACTAAATTTAACATTATAACTGTATTTTTTTATTTGTCGAAAACAATTATGAACGTATGTATTTGTTTCTGCGGCCTTCCGATCTGTATAGCGATTTGTATTGGCCTGCGATTGCATCTAATCTGGACAATCCTGCCCTATAGCATGACTTGTTTTTGTTGTTGTGGCAACCCATAGAGATCTATATAACAGATAACATGAAAGGAATTACAAATACATATACTTCGATTAGAATATGGTTAGGCAAAGAAAGCGTGACAGAAAAGGGGAAGCAAGAGTGGATTAAAGATAGGTGGGATTTTGAGATTTTAATTGAATAACATATCTGCTTAATATGCAGTGACGCATCAGTACCGATGCCGAGACCCTGGCCAGGTAACGCCTTAGTTAAAACAGCTAATAAGTTGCTTGTCCAGGTCGATCTTAAGATTTGACAGGAGAGTTCATGTGCCTAAGTTTGTTTAGCTATACTTAGATATTTTTGTTTGATATATAGCTTAACAGTTGTGAATGGGATACCAATATCCGAAAAATGAGTGGCAAGTTTGTCTGTCCTGCATTTGCCCGAGATATCCCTGTGACCAGATATCCATGTAACTAGACACAAACTCACTAAGCTACCTGGTTAAGAGAATCCCGCTGTTATTGAATTGTTAAGTGTAGTTGTAGCGCTCAGTAGAAATTCAATAGCAGCTTGGCTGCACAAAATGATTACGATATTTACTTCGGGTATCTTCTCGCCTAGGACCAAGTTTTTTGCGTAGTAAATCACTGTTAATTCTACCGGAAGGAATTATTATTTTTCGTATGTAATGCCAACAACATATAATGCTTTTATGAATCAATTAGCCTAAGTTTAAGAAGTTATCTAACATTTATATACATACATATATATATATATATATAGATATATATAAATCCAGTTGTGTGCTTAACATGACGGTTTGTTTGCTTTTGATATAAATTATTTTGTGGTACCTAAAAATTAACCTAACCATTTTTAATTTAATTTATTTTAATATTATTTTAATCAAGTAACTTAAATTTTTGGAATATATAACTGGAATAAAATAACTTTAACTTGCATTGGAAATTACATGTGATAAAAATAATTACAAATTTCTTCATATAGTCGTCTATTACGTTTAGCAATAAATCTTCTATGCTATTAGAAATTTTATTTTCGCTGACTTTCCGATACCATTTCAGATACCAGATAGTGGACTAACGTACCTAT